GGTAGACCCAACTGTGGGCCAGCTACCCTAAATTTTCGAAACACCCCATTTATGTACAAACTCTATCCCTCTTATTATTTAATAGATATATATATATATATATATATATATATATATATATCTTTATTATGGTTTCAAAATGTTTGCAAAGGTTTTAATTCCCGGGATCCATGTNATATATATATATATATATATATATATATATATATATATATATATATGGCAACCCTCAAAATGAAGGATCCTGGTTATGCCCCTGGATTAAGCTAAAAAAGGAGCTAATTTGGAGTAGCTGAAACCCAATATCCAATAAGAAAGTAAGACGGTGCAGTACTTGTATTTGTATTCTTCCCAAATGGAGCCTAAGTAAGAATCTGCAGCTTAAAAATGATATTTAGGTGACTTAGTGTCATGGATGGATGTAAGTACTGCATTGGATCTAGTGTCATGTGTCATGACAAAATCAAGTAGATAGCATAAAATCTAGTGGAGTAAAACAGTTTGGTGCAAACCTTATAAATAGTGTTACCCATGCTCTGTAATCCCTATCATCACATCTTTTCTTTTCCATGCAAAAAAGAATTAAATTGAGCATGTGGGTCAATGAAAATTGTTCAAATTATATGATATTGGCCCTACCACCTAAAGCTTATTAGCATAAGATAAATACAACATTAATATTTCTCTCTCCCACATGCATCATCACTATTACCAAAACAATGTTTTGGTAATGCCGTGTGTTGAAATTTTGTTCTGTGCACCAAAAGTTTGAACAAGAAAATATTCTATTATCTGCATCAATACATTAAAGCATTCTTCTTAAGAAGAAATTAATTGTATATGTCACTTCTCACAATTGAATTAGTCCTATCGAAAATGGTTGGTTGCTGTATAAATCAATACAAATTAGATAACCTTTAACTAATATTTTATTGTTCATGTTGTTAGAGCTATTTAAGAACTTGTAATAAATTTTTAGTCTTGACCACCATCTTTGCATCTAAAATCATGACAATCGGTTGGTTTTATGGGTATTTATTGAAAAAATACCATCACATAGGCATTAGTGTTTACTGCATATAAAATCACAATTTGGTTTGACCGTTTATCAAATAAATACTAAAAACTGAAATACTTTGATTTATGTGTATGGGACATTTGGGGAAACGTTAAATTCTCATTTCTCCCAACACTTGACATTTCTTGAAATGGAATATTGGACATCTAGCAAGAAAGTTATGAGCCAGAAAATGCTTTAGGGGTCTATATCCTTCATCCAAACAACTATTCCTACAAGATATACTTGCTAGCTACTTGAAATAGACTTTCTTTTATCCTGCATTTGTTTATCTGTAAAATGGGTGGAATTTTTTTTCAGACTGCAATATTTTTTGCTATTCTTCATCCAAACCCATAGCTTTTACTTTTTCTATGTAAATGACAAGGAATTTTCCATGCTAAAAGAGGTGAAACAATCAAATAACTGCAGCCTTAAATATTTTTCGGGTTTTCAACCAAATAGTAGACAAAATGAACTGAAATGAGGAAAATCTTCGTGTAATATCTGCAATTTTCTTTCTTAGATAAGGCTGAACAGAGAACAGATCAGCCTATTTAGGGAATGGGCTTCCTAATAATTCTTATTTATTGCGATAATTACATTGATTATGTAAGCAGCATAAATTATTTGATATAAACCAATTATAAAGATTAGAGGTCAGTAGGTAGATGGTGTGTAGCTATGAGCTGTCTGTAATCTATATGGGTTGGGTCTTTTTCCCTTGGCGTATGGTATGGTAACGACATCAACGAAGGTCAGCTAAATCGTCTATAGGGGGCGATGGCGCCGGACGGACGGCCACCGGAGTCCATTCGAAGGGGCGAAGGGTTACTTCTGTCTGGGACCCACGGATTGGTGGGGGAGCTAAATTAATTGAAAAGAAAGATTTGGATAATATAGAAAGAGGCTATGTACTCTGCATCTGAGAGGAGTTTGACGTAGAGAGCTCTCGCCGGTCAAAGAAATAGCGACGTCTCCGTGATTCTTGTGGCGCTGTGGCCGGGAGGGGGACCACCGGAAAACTTTAACGTCGGACGCAGCAACCGCAACAACCACCACCCTCTACCTCTCCATCGTGTGACCGGCGGACGACGACACCTTCAGATTTGCCCTCTTCCTATTATCCATCACGTGACGGCGGACAGCCAATTTCTTAACTGCTTATTTTTTTCTTCCTTTCTTTTCCAAAGCTATCTGACCAGAAGTCAGGATAGGCTCCAGTTGGAGTGGCTCCTTTCTGGAGTCTGGACGGTCCATATGCAACCAGCACCACAATAAAAATGAAAATATTATATAGTGATATTAGGTGATTTACTAGAACACCTTTATATTATATACAATCTATTTATTTAATCAATCTTCTCTTAATAACTATTTGTTTTACCAAATGAAAATAGTAACATGATCACTTCAATTAAGGCTGCATTTGGAGTAAGTGTGAATGTAAATATGTAGAATATAAAATGGTCCATATAAATTGTAAAGTTGAGTTAGTTTTACATTGACAAATTTACCTCCTTATCAAAATAGACTTTTAGTTGTAATGGATGCGAACACAAATTCTAAAAAAGTGTATGCTTTTTTTTATATTCCACTTGAATGCAAATTTACTTCTTTTTTATTGATGTACTTTTATATCTTATTATCAATATAAATATGCATTGATCCGCCAATTATCAATGCATAAATGTAATATTGCCAAACACAAACAAAAGTGAACCAATGTACAAATTTACCTTGAACCGGGATTTACACTCCATTTGCATCATTTTCAAATGCAGCCTAAGTGGAAAATGTTTAAGGGCATGGATCCGTGGTTGTTTATTCCAAAAGTACCAATAAATTGAGTGAAATATGTTGAAGAGTATAAATCCATTGTTATTTATTTCAAAAGTATCACTAACACTTGTTTGTATAGAAAACAAAATTGACTAATTAGGCTGCGTTTGGAAACGATGCAAATGGAGTGTAAATCCCAGTTCAAGGTAAATTTGCACTCTGGCTCACTTTTACTTGTATTTGGCAACATTACATTTATACATTGACAAATGACAGACCAAGGCATATTTACATTGATAATAAGATGTAAAAGTACATCAATAAAAAAAGAATCAAATTTGCATTCAAGTGGCTTTTTGATAAACAAAAAAAAAAAGCATATGCTTTATGGAAATTCATGTTTGCATCCATTACAACTAAAAGTGTGTTTGGTAAGAAGGTAAATTTGTCAATGCAAAACTAACCTAACTTTACAATTTATATGAACTGTTTTACACTCTACATATTTGCATCGTTTCCAAACATAGCCTTAGAGAAAAATAGAGTGGTTGTTCATGTTTTAGTAGGGGCAAAAATGATATTTGTGCTTTTAGTTTTGGAAGTTTCATCTAATGTAGATCGATTACAAACTATAGGTAAGTGAGGATGATTGTGTTAGTATTGACCCTAATTTAACTGGGGGTGCCCTGTTTATCAGAAATTGAATTTCTTCCACAATATTAATTTAACCCCTAAAATCACATGTGGAGACCATGTCACTTCTTCCTTGCTGCTCAATATTAATACATCATTGTTACGCATGGAAAAGAAAAAAGGGAAATTTCATGAAAGAAAATGTCTTCGAATATCTTCCTCATTCAACCCTCGAATTTCAAAGATACTACATGATAGATAATACTTAATTAAGAATGGTCTTCTTCAAACTTTTTTGGACAAAACTCAATTTTCAACTGCTTCTCCCAGTTACGAGGACTTGAAATGGTTTGATGTTATCAAAGGATCCTGAATCTGGACCATTTCAAAAATGAATGTAATAACAGTGCTGCTACTGGATCTTATCTTCAGTAGAATAAGATGTTCCTAGCTATATATCAGAGAAGATCCCAGATAGTGAAATAATGGTAATTATGTTCTAGAGATGGAGGGTTATGTGGCATTTGCAACTGATGTGAAACCTGTATTTTGAAGATGAATCTATTGGATTTGCAACATGAACCCTGATACATTATCACATAATTTCATCTAAGTTAACATCATTGAGAGTACCACTGGTATTAGGTTCTAGAACAGACTCTGATTCAACATCCCACCCACCCACATAGAGAGAAGAAGTCTTCTCTGTTGGATTTGAATATCTTCAGCATTCATACCCCATCTTGATTTGTTTGATATTCTCCCCCTATAATACCAATTCAATGGTTAGAACTTAAAGCTGAAAAGGCACCACTGTGGCCGCCACAGGGGTCCTTCATTAAATGGCAGACCCCTAGAAGTCAAGGATTAGTCTAGTAGACAACGAGTAGGAAGAAAGTTAGCGATCAATCAGTTGTGAATTTCTGAAGTACTGTAGCAGGAAATGAACCAGAACAAACAATTGATCCAAATTAACAAGCCTAGTGAGAATGTTAGAGGCTCAAATTAAAGTATACTAGAATCGGCTCTCTGGGTGTAAGCCGTCTCTTAGATATGAGTGAGTGAGTGAGTGAGTGAGTGAATCTGTGGAATTGAGACGAGAGTGAGCAGAGCCCGAGCCACCCGTGATGGTTAAAAATTAAAACATGTCAATACCTGTTCAACTGCCAAACTGAGCTATCTTCTAAATCCTGAAATGCCACGTGGACAGGCCATGTGAATGCCCCTCCCCCCAAAAGTGTGAGTCAGATCAAATGAGATCATCATGGTGAGATCAGCAAAAATGCTGCTCTGACCTGGCCGCCGTGCGTCATTTGACCCACGTGCAAAATAACATCTCTAACTAGCATAGCTACCATCCATGTCCGATTAGGGGCACCACATCAAACCATGCCAAACGGGCCCCATTCCAATACATCCTCCTTGGCTGATTCACTTTCTTTTCTTTTATACTTTCTTGCTTTGAATCCTCCTCGTCTTTGGGTATATAAAAGGGGTTGGTCTCCCAAATCTTTTCAAATGGGCATGGACTACAACAGCCAAGAGTGATCAGAGAAGCAATAGCAACTTCAACCCCCCCCCCCCCCCCCCACGAAAAAAAACAACTGCTACCCACAGATGGATTCTTCTTTTTTCCAATCGGATTCTTCTTCCTTCTTCCAGTCCTCCCAAAATTCTAATGAATTCTCGCCGGAATCTTCCTTGGGTTCGCCGGAGTACTTCTCATGGGATGGGCTCATTTTCAATGAAAGTTTCCTCCCATTCAATGAGAATGACTCGGAAGAGATGCTACTCTTGGGTGTTCTGGCAGAGGCTGCCAGAGAGTCATCGGAGACCCAATTCCGCACCCAGATTAAGGACGAAGAAGTGAGCTCCAAACAGAAAGAAGAGCCCAAGACCAAGGAGAAGTCCTACAGAGGCGTTCGAAGACGGCCATGGGGGAAATTCGCGGCAGAGATAAGGGATTCCACAAGGCACGGCATACGGGTTTGGCTGGGGACATTCGATAGTGCAGAGGCTGCGGCTCTGGCCTATGATCAAGCCGCTTTCTCGATGCGTGGATCGATGGCAGTCCTCAATTTTCCAGTGGAGCACGTCCGTCAATCACTCCGAGACATGAAGTACGGTTGCGAAGACGGTGTTTCGCCAGTGGTGGCGCTGAAGAGGAGGCACTCCATGAGACGGAAGTCCACCGGCAAGAAAAACAAAGGGATAGAGGTTCGGACAGAGAATGTGGTGGAGTTTGAGGACCTAGGAACAGAGTATTTGGAGCAGCTGTTGAGTTCTTCTGAGAGTGCCAGTCCTTGGTAAAGTGAATGAATCAACAAAATCTAATTTCACTTCTTCCTCCCAAAAACAGAGAAATATGTCTTCTCCTTCTCTTACTCTCTCACTGTGTCCCGTTTTTGCAGTTGCTGTATTCTTCTTCTCTTTTTCATTATTTCCTTCTTTTATTCTGTTTTGTTCACTCACGAAGTAACTGTCCTGTTCATTTGTAATTTTTTAGTCTGAGATGGCAGGGATAAATTCGCAGGGATTCGATTTTATAAGTTTGTTTAACCATCCTTGCTTGTTTCAAAACTATTCCGGGGATGATTAAACAACTTTAATCCTGTGTATCGTGACTCGTGAGAGAATAAAAACTATTCCGGGGCCTCACTTGATAATTTAAGCCTTTTAGATTAAAGAGTTCCGAGCATTTATGAAGGAGTACTCTTTTGTCATTTCACTTGAGATGTATTTCGTTTTTTCAAAAGAATAGGGCTTGCCCAAATCAATATATATATCCCCACCAAATGATGTGATCGTTAGAAAGACAATAATTAAAAACAAAAAAGCCCCTTTGCTTTTTCAATTTTAATACTTGATTGAAATTTCCTCAAGTGATAATATAGACTATGTTCTCGACTTGAGTCATGACTCTTAGGAGCCGCAGATAAATTCTGTATTTGGACTTTGTTAAAATGCATTAGGTTTGGGGTTTGGGAAGGAAGGTTCCAGGAGTCTCCCTTTTTGATTTCAAGTCACAAAGAAGTTCAGAAAAAAAATTCTTGATCAAGAGGACTTGACATTTTGATTCTGAAGTTACATCTGATCACAATAAAATCTTTTAGACTTAAAAAGAGAGGTTTGATCTACTTGACATCTGCCATTACTAGACAATTGTTGTGGTCTGTCAGATACGTACCTAAGTCTCTTACTCCCTGAGAAGAGAGAGAGTGTTTGTCAGTATGAGAATGTAAGTCAATCTCCACCTGGTTAATTGAACCTGGCTACCTTCTATGGTGGCACACTGACTGACCTTTCCTAATTAAAATTATTCCTTTGGGATCTGACATTACCTACTTTAACTTTTCAATAAGATTATCCCCTTCGAATATAAAATTTAATTTTTTTTCTACTATACGTGAGAGAGAGAAAGAATGAGAAAGAAAGAGAAAAAACCAAAGAAATTCAGTCAAAAAGAGGGTAAATCACATTCAAGGTAGGTCCTTAACTGTATTCTGTTGCAAAGAACGCGGGCCCCATTATACAATCTCTATGTCCATCTGTGGGTCCGAGTTTCATGAAAGTTTACGTAACTTCTTTGCTAATTGAAACAGTGTTTTAATCTTATTCCATACTATTTTTTACTGCTCAATTTTGTCATTGCGTTTCGTAGTGCATGGTTATGAAAACCAACCATCTAATGGTGACTACATGTGGAGCCCCTCTTCTAGAATGCGAGTTTGGATCTTCTACTCAGAAGACGCTGCCCACACCCTATTCATAAGATATGCCTCGGGAATATTATCCCATGTATGACGCCATAAATTCCAATCCCCTTCCAATTTGATCTAACACTCTACATATCACCATGAGAGTAGGACTTTTCATGTATGAGACATGTTGTGTGAAATCATGTTAGTAGGTTGTTGAAATGTATTTTATTGGCAACTGATCCAAACTCATATAATAGATACTTTTAATTAGACCTGTTCATGGGCTGGGTAATCCGATGGCCCGGCCCGCACCCCGGTTGGGCTTGGTCATGTAATTAGGCCCGCGGGCCTGACCTCGGGCTTAACATAGTAAGCCCGATTGTGTTACGGGCCGGGCTCGGGATTTGTCAAAAAAGCCCGGCCCAAGCCCGACCCAGCTCGACTCGGCATTATATATTTTATAAAATACATATTTTATATATTATATAAAATATATAAATAATATAATATTTATTGAAATATATTTATTTATAATTTAATATATACATTTTTTTATTTTTTCTTTATAATTTCTCTCTCTCTCTCTCTCTCTCTCTATTCAACCGCTTCAGCAGTAGTAATAACATGGGATAAATTTCGGGCTCGGGCCTAGGCCCGGGCTTCGGGCTTTTTGTGAGGGCCGGACTCGGGCTCGGGCCTTAGAAAAATCTATTAATACAGAGTGAAAGCCCGGCCCATGAACAGGTCTACTCTCAATGTAAGACTACACTAATGTATTGTGATTAATGTATTGTGTAGTATGGGTAGCAGTAGGGGTGAGTATATGTCAGTTCGGTTTGGTTATGCAGCAAAACCTAGAACCTACCTTATAGGGGTTGGTTCCATGTTTTTGGAACCGGAACCTATCCTGTGAAGATCAATTGGTCGGTTCCAGGGTCTACCCGTGGAACCCATTCTTTGTTTACTCTCCCTCTTAAAAAATGGAACATGTCCCTTTAAAAAGTTGGTTTTCAATAATCATAATATATAATTTAAAACTTATGTTATGTTTAATGATTAAATTGAGTAACTTAATATATAGATTATTATAATATATTAAAATGTGGTTCAAAATTTGTCATATTATAATTTAAATTTTGTAAATATTACCTTTTACATTATTTATTATACACATTTAATTATTAAAATGGAAACAAATGATCAAATTACTTAAATAATTCAATTGTCAAGTGAGGCCATGGCTTTTGTAACAATAAGTATTTAGGTTCAAATATTTACATTGTTAAAAATATTTTGGAGTTTATTTTAAGGCAAATTCGATTTCAAGGACAATTCCACTAAGGCCAACCAAGGTTGATTCATCGGGTCGGTTCAGGTAGGATAAACCCCTAGACCCTGGATTGGTTCAAAGAATTTAAAACCAGTCCCTATCTTGTAACAAATTGAGTAGAATTGGTTCAAAACCGGTTTAAAGTCAGTTCCAGATAGAACCTTCTAGCTATTTGGTCACTCCTAGGTGGCAGAACCGAATTCCCTAAAATGCAATTGCAATGGGGGATCTTATGGTTAGAGTCACAATCTGCTACCCACAAGCCTGTTCTGATCTTATGTAAGATGTCAGTTGTCAGAGTTCAGATTGGCACCCCACATGTATATATCATCGTGCATTGGGAATATAGGGCGGTTATGGAGAGACCAAATCAGCCCCCACAACGTCCGATGACAACATCACATTTTTAATATTATTATTAGGAGATATTCTCAATACACAGCAGAGATGTACTATGTGAGACATTATGTGAGGCAATCTTGTCGGGGGAGGCTGATTTGAACTCGTTATGGGGTATGTTAAAATTGCACGTCTCAGACTGAAAGAGAGAGAGAGAGAGGAGATGAGGATAACAAGAGAATTCGTCAAGATTAATGTGGCCAGCATTGACTGAAAGAGAGAGAGAGAGAGGAGATGAGGATAACAAGAGAATTCGTCAAGATTAATGTGGCCAGCATTTGATGGAGTATATTCAAGCATTGGTCAAGCACTCACTCTTAGCATTTTCTTTGTCTCAACGGTGGACAACAACGCCAGTCAGCGTCGGCAGCTCCCTTCCCCCGTGTGATAACGTCGATTCTTGGAAAGAAACCAAATTATTTTCCATTTTCCAACAAGGAGAAGAAGAGGAGATGTTCTAATTATTCAAGTAATCTAGGAATGAAATTTAGATAATCTGTTTAGTCCAATGAATTTTTTTAAAGAAAAAAGAATTATCCAAGATTCTTCCACGTGGCAAAATATACCTAATGATTACTTTTTCTTAATATTTTTTTTAATAACTAAAGTCCCTTATTTAGAATTACAACCTAAATATTACATTTGGTGTGAAAGTTGTACACTAATTCCAACGTGCAACGAAAAACTTGAACCAATGATAAAATGATACATCACAATGTAATGAATTTTTTATGTAATAAATATATATTGTAAAATATGAATTAGGAGTGTAATTTGGGCAAATTTGAATTGGATTTTCGTCAAAATTTAAATGAATGTGACTCAGAGGCCTGTGCCCATATCAGTATAAAATGTTAACTTGGGTTAATCTGAATTTAAATCTTTAATATGAACAACTGGAAAATAGATCATATGACGTCTTCGATATAATTAATTGAAATCTTGATTTAACATGCCACAAATATAACGAAGTGTAATATGGTTGTATTCTAATTAAATATATATATATATATATACATGATGGACGCATTTAACTGAAATTTGGATGAAAATCAATATTAATTTGACCAAGTTAGGGAGAGAAAAAGAAGATCTTTTTTCTCTGATGGCATGGATGGTCTAGATTAGCCGCATCACCTGTCTGAACATACAATGAGTACTGTAACCCAGGAAAGAGACCTTGGTGGCCCTCTGTCTCTCTCAGTTCTACTTCTACTATGAATTTGTCCATTCTCTTTAATCCCAAGTCAAAAGCAGTTTTGTTTCCTCCCTAGATACCCTTGTAAAGTTATACTTGTATTGGAATCGGTTCTTGTCCGGATTTCAACTTGAAACATTAACACACAGTTTATTATCTTACTCAGGAAAAATATATATATATTTATTTGTTTAGAATCTCCAAGTGTTGAAAATAGAAATCACCCATTGGCTTACGCATTATGTTTTTTCATATGAATAATTCTTTTAAAGTCATCATCATCGTCTGAACCTTGTATCACACCATTCCTTCTATTTTAAGGAAAGACAATTCAGGATCTACGTACGGTCATAAGAGTTTGACAGAAGTTTAATACTGATGACCACCTTAACACAACCCTCCTTTATGCAGCTTAAAATAATTCTGAACTACTTTTTCTCCATTGAGCAATGCTAAAAAAATCAATAAACCACTGGCAATTCTAGAACAAACAAAGGCTGCGTTTGGAAAATGATGCAAATAAAGTGTAAATCTCGGTTTAGGATAAATTTACACTCTGATTCATTTTATGGCCGACTAGGAGGTATGACTCTCTCTAATTCAACAACTTCTTCTCCTTCNCCCCCCCCCCCCCTCTCTCTCTCTGAACAGGACTTATCTGAACCATTGAAACACATAAATTCATCCTTATTACATATAAAAAAAAAGGATCGGGTCCATGTTGACAATTCATCTGTCTTGGCCCGTGGTGGATCAACAGTTCAACTCTTTCGACCCAGATGTAATTCAAATCTGCTTTATTGTGCTTAAAATAAAGAAAATTTTAATAGTTTAATAGTTTTTAATTTATATATATATATATAATACATTTATATAGATATAAAATATTAAATTTATTAATTATAACTTCTATATAATTATATACATAAATATATTAGATACATACACATACATATATAATTAAGCTGTCTATCGTATTATATATTCTTCATCTTAAACAAGAAGAAGAAGAAAGATGCATGCATGTGATAAAAATCATTAAAGACTGTTT